TACCACATTTTCTCTATCCACTCTTCAGTTGAGGAACATCTAGGTTGCTTCCAGGTTCTGGCCATTACAAATAATGCTGCTATGAACATAGTGGAACAGATGTCCTTGTGGTATGAGTTTCAGGAAGTCTTTAATTACTTTTTTACTTCTTACTTGACCCACTAGTAATTGAGTTGAGTATGATACAGTTTGCCTGAGTTTGTAGACTTTCTGGAATTTGTGTTGTTGCTGAATCCTTACTTTAAGTAATGGTGATCCAACATGATATCAGGTTATTCCTATATATTTATATCTGTTGAGTTTAGTTTTATGATGGAGTATCTGGTCAGTTTTAGAGAAGCTTCGATGGGATTCTGAGAAGAAGATGTATTCATTTATGTTTTGGTGGCACTTGTCTCATGAAATCTTTTAGTTTTCTTATTTCTCTCTTAATTTTCTCTCTGGAAAACTTACTGTAGTGATGAATTTTCCCACTATTAGTGCATGGGGCTTGAAGTTCAATTTAAGTTTTAGCAATGTTTCTTTACAAGTGGTTGTGCATTGTATTGGGTCATAAATGATCAGAATTCAAAATTCATCTTGATGTATATTTACTGTGATGAATATGTTATGTCTTTCCTCTTCTTTAACTGACTGTAGTAAGAAATGTATTATGTTATATATTAGGATACCTACACCGGCTAATTTCTTGTGTCCATTAGATTGGAAATTTATTCCCAACCATTTACTTTGAGCTAATACCTGTCTTTGTGGTTGAGGTTTGTTTCTTTTATGCAGCAAAAATGTAGACGCTGCTTTTGTATCCACTCTATTTACCTGTGTCTTTTTCTAAGCAAAGTGAGTCCATTACTATTGCAGGATAATAATGACCAGGGATTGTTAATTACTGCTATGTTTATTCGTGGTGATTGTGTGTGTGTGTGTGTGTGTGTGTGTGTGTGTGTTTCTCTTCTTTAATATTTGCTGCTGTGGGAGTATCTGTCACTTGTGCTGTTGTGTGTACAGCTAACTTCCCTGGGTTGGAAATTAATTCTATAGCTTTCTGTAGGACTGGATTTGTAGATAGATACTTTGCAATCTGTTTTTTCATGGAATATCTCATTTTCTCCATCCATGGTGATTGAAAACTTTCCTGTGTGTGGTGGTCTTGGTTGGCATGTGTGCTCTTTAATGTCTGCACATCTGTCCAGGATGTTCTGGCTTTCAGAGACTCCACTGAGAAATCTGATGCTATTCTAATCGGTCTGCCTATATGTGTTCCTTGGGTTTTTTCACTTGCATCTCTTAGTATTCTTTATTTAACTTATGTGTTTATTGCTTTTATTATGTGGGGAGGGGCCTTTTGGGGGCATCCATTCTATTTGATATTATGTAAGCTTCTTGTATCTTCATAGCCATGTCATTTTTTAGATTGGGAAAGTTTTCTTCTATTGTTTTGCTTCCCTGGATGCCCTCCTTGTGGACAGGGAGCACACCAATGATACACCTAGAGGCCACCAAGTAGATAGATCTTGCTGGGATGGTGGCAAACTAGTTCATCCGTGGCATGATTGCCCTCAGGAGAAAAAAATAGGATCCAATGCCCCACATGCATTTAGGGATTTAAAGGATTGCAAATCACAGCCTGCTGAAGCACATGCCTCTTCAAATTCCAGCTGGGTGCTTCTCATCCTCCCATCAGGAAAAGGAAAAGTGGCTATGCACAGCCAACAAGCACTAGGATTCTCTGCCAAGGATTATACCCCTGACCCTGATGAGATGGACAGATCCTATATCCCTCCAAAGGCCCACTGATAATCCATGGGTGAAGGTCTGGTTGTGTTTTGACTCAGACTGACAGAGTACTAATATGGATACTGTTAAGAGATGTGCACCTCGACTTGGATCAGCCTACTTCCACTAAGGAGAGGATAACCCAGAATTGGTGTGGTAATATATTATTTATGATTTATTAAAGTCTAACTGAAGATTCAGAAAAATAAAGTCAGTCTCAAGCTGTAGAGATCAGACAGTGGTGATACATACATTTAATACTAGCATCCAGAATTTAGGAGGTAGTGGTACATACCTTTAATCCAAGGACTCAGAATTAAAAGGTAGACAGTTCACTGTGAATCCAAGGCCACCCTCATCTATGAAAAAGTGAATCAGTATAAAAGAGAATCATAGCTCACACCTTTAATTCCAACATTAGGCAAGTACACAAGACAGAAGCAAGGTCGATAATAGGCATACATTCTCCATCCACACAGAGAAAAGGCAGCAATTTGGGACTTGGTGAAGGGGTCATGCATGGAACACCCCTTTCTGCCTGAACTGGAAGTAAGAGTAAGGGACCCTCTGCTTTGCTACCCGGACTTACACCTTGACACCCAATATCTGTCTCTGTGTCATTTATTAATTTGTGTTACAGATCAGTAATGTATATATTTCCCTTTCTTGCTCTCAATGCCACCCCACACAAATTTATTTATTAAGGGGAGCAGTTATGGCCCTGTGCATGTTGATAGCTATTACTCTGTCTATTGTGCGGCAAGGGTAGGACCTGGTTTTAGGCTAAATAGAATTAGTGTCATGGGCTCCCTGAGGAATGGTAAGTGCTATAGATCAAAATCTAGGATCACGTAAGTTCAGAGGTTCAAAGGGTCAGTGTAAAAGCATTGTCTATACACATCATCTTCTTACCACTTTGAGTTTCAGAAGCCCAGTGTACCTCATGATAACTCATTAGTCACTATTGCATCCCTTTTCCACACTGCAAACTCTGAGTGATCCTGTGTTTTCATTTTACTTCTTAGCAGTCACCTTTCCAGCCTCCAGTTTGTGATCTGGGTCTTCCACACACTTCTGCACATCCTCCAGATCCAAATATATTATAATGATCCCCATGTCTGTTGTATTTTAGTCAAAATTCTTTACACCTCATGTTTCAGGAATTTTCAAATTCTCTATGATGTTAACACGTTGTCTTGACATCGAGAGTCTTTGTCATTTTGTCAGAGCAATTTTATCCAACTCATATATGAAATTGCCATGTATTCTCTAGTTCTCTTCAGTCTCTTCCTCATTTTTCTTCACTCATTGTGTTTTCATCCTTCCCCCAACCTTTTCCTTTGATTGATATGACTCAAATAAAAATGTTTTCCGAAGACTTCAGCTTTGCAAATATATCCCAACTATGTTGTTTTTTGAGAAATTCTGGACATTTTAGAAATTAAACATGAGTGGAGGTGGTCAGTCAGTTCAATGCATAATGTTCATAGTTCCTAATTCTTGTAGGTTAGTAGTATGTAGCCTTTTATCAATACAGAGGTATTTTAGTTGTATCTTTTGTCACTTCATGGCTTTTATGATAAAGGAATGCTGGATTTTGGTAAAAGAATTTCTGACATCAGGTCTGGAAGATGGGATGTTTCCATTGAATCAATGCCCTTAGATCGCATTTAAGCCCATGGTTGAGGATTTATGTGCCAGAGATACCACCAAGAGAACAGGGACCTCCGAATCAACTGAGCAAAGGTCTTATGAACTCACACCATGAATCAACATGCAGGGCGACTGCAAGGTTCTTATTCTAGTCTCAGGCATATACATTATAGCTTTCAGTTCAGTATTTTTATGAGCCTCTTGTTTATTTGAATGAGTGGATCTTGAATGTTTGTGCCTTCTCATGGCATGGGAGCTTTTATTTTGTTGCTTGGTTTTTCTACCTTGATTTTATTTTATTCTCTATAATTTACCTTGTTATGTAACATTGTTATGTCTTAGAACCCTGTTGTTTCCTAATTACAGAAAGGAAGTCAACCAGCATGGGAGGGAAGCTGGATAGGAATGGGGAGGAGTAGAATGAGGAGAAGATGGAATCAGCGTACATCGTATAAAAATACACTTTTCTCAATGAAAGGATAAAAAGAAGGAATATTTACTGGCATCTAGCAATATCATCAATTCATGTCTATCTCTGAGTCCATCAGAATGATGTACTACATTTGCACCTGACTATAATGAGTCATCCCCAATTCTCTGAAGTAACTGTGATATTATTTTATTTTATGGTAGTGTCACTTTATTTTAATGAAATAACAAATAAAAGCCTTAAAGAGATAAACTGAAATAGTCACTCAAAAGATCACTTGCCCAGGTCTAAATCGAGTTTATTTCAATTTAGATCTATATAGTTCAGAAAGCTATGCTTAAGACATGGAGATTTGCTCATAGTTTTACATGTTTTCTACCAATTACAGTTTTATGCCTTTTTCTACCATAAGATGAAAAAATGATAGAGCTGACAATTTAAAGGATAATTAACTTGATATTTTCTTCCATAGCTCATTGATGGGGTCTGACCTATATAAGTCCTTTGATGCAGGGTCCATCTATTCTGTACTGATATCTTGGCAGCTGTATTTAGAACCAGCCAAACAGCCCCAGGTCCGATCCTGAGTGGGGGAGTGTGGGTAAGGGAAGTCCTAGCTATCTAACAGTGTTAAGTACAAGACAGAGACATCTTGTCATTTCAGGAGGGCTCTCAGTCCATACTGGACACCATGGTTTATTCAATCATCATCTTTAATAGCTTTCCAAGAGCAGGGGTACTGGAAGAAGACATCTATTATCATGTATAGATATTTCCTTTAATCCTCTGTGAAATAACCAAGCATCCATCATGCCTTGGCAGAAGCAGGGAGAGCCAGTAGCAGGGTGGCTTGTTTTAGAGCTTTTCTTGCTAGCTGTTTTATACACCACCAGGACAAGAGGAACCTTGAAGCTGTAACTTGAAGAGTGAAAGCATCCTCATCAGTGGTATAAGCTAATGTGGGCAGGTAATTCAACCAGCTCATAAACATCTGAGATATATCATCAGCATTGATAGTTAAAAGACAAGGCACTACCTCCTTTAGTCTCTGTATTGAATTTGTGAGGGATATGGGTGAATAAACAACTGAATATCAGAAAAGGGAAATCATTTCCTTAAGAATAAGTGAGTTTATAGTCCTCATTCAGACAAATCTAGGTCTTGACAAAATGGAGTAATGACTAATAAGAACAAAGGGTCCAAAACAAGGAAAACACAGAGAAGTGAGGTTAGTGATGTTCACCAGCCACCGACTGTGATTATACAAAAGAGCCACACATCCTTGTAAGATGGAGGAGAGTGTGTAAAAAGCCAGAAAGGTACACACCATGCTCAGGATGTGGTGGGTGGCTCTGGACTCGGGGGATTTTCTACAGGAACCACAAGTGCTGCGGATATTTTGCACCCTCTGTTTGTGTCTATATAGAATGAAAATCATAGAGCCACTAGACCAGGCCATGAGCAAAGAATAAAATACTTCAGGGCACACTACCAATGCTGCATAGAGTAAGTCACCGATTTCATTCCCCCCTTCAATGGAGCAGTATCCAAAGTCTCGTTTTCTTGTCATATTACCACTATACATTGTGATAATTGGGTACAAAAAGAAAGTTAAATTTAATAAGATGTACAAGACCCAGAGGAGGGCAGAGGAGCACTCAATGTACTTCCCAGCTTTGACTTTTACATTATTACCATAGGATTTCTTGTGACTTATGGTGATGGCCTGGAAGACACTCAAAAGGCAGGTGGTGGCAATGGACACACTGCGCCCAACTCTTTCAATGTACAAAAGGAATCTGCATCCAAAATCATTTAAAAACTGCTTCAAACCAAAAGCTGCCATTGTTTGTGGTACTCCTCTAGAGAGAATGATCATGGTGTTGGCTCCCATTAGGTGCATATGAATCAAATCTATAGTCTTTAATTTGCATTCTCCATAGAAGACCAGATAATAGTAAAACACAGAGAAATTTCCCAGAATTCCAATTGTAGTTAGTAACAAGAAAATTATTTTGATGCTCAGATTCCAGAAATATATTCTGTTATTGAACATGATTTTTTAAGGAGAAAGTATTTCTGTAGACAAAATGAAAAAAAGTATGAAAAACAAAATCTACAGAGAGGCTAAATCAAAATGTGCCTTAGGTCTCAGAAGTGCCATCTCAGACTAGACTACATAACAGCAATTTCTCATAGTTAATGATGTGATTAATATTACTTACAAGGCATTTAACTGTAAGATGATTAAAGACTTCATCATGCATATGTGGATGAGTGATATGCCTTCATAAACATAGAATATATAGCATTGTAGGCATATTTATTTGTTCTGTTAGAAGCAATTGGAATAAGAGGAACTACCCATAAGCATAGTCCAAGACTGTGAGAATATTCAGCTATTTTCTAGTCATGATATAAGAGAAGACAGCTTCAATGACTTATACAAAGCTTAAGAAAAACCATATCTTCATGTATATCCCATCTAAAATTAAAAGATTATTAAGAAAAATGTATGATATCATTTAAGATATTTCTACATATAAGGAAATTTTATTAAGAGCATAAAATGCATTCAAATTATTGTTCAATTAACAACTTGTGTCTTATGTTAAGAGCTAAGCCCTAATGTAAAGTCACACCATAGACATACATATAGATTTGTGCTCCCTTATATTAGGATGGTTAGAGCACTGGGGAAATTCAGTGCGATGATATCCCACAGAATTTTCAGCAGAACAGTAACAGGGAAAATAAATCAGCAGATATGGTAAGGAAAATATCACCATCTGATGAATGATAGCTTATGAAAAATATACAGTATCTCTGTCGAAGCTATGTCTGGGATAATCAGGTACCATTTGGAATTCTAGATTGTAAATGGTAGAAGAAAATGCAGTGAGTTAAACTCCCATCAGTGCAGTGGGAAAAGACCCTCAAGACACCGTATTTTATTCCTCCAGGAGAATGTATCCGAAGCCTTCTTAAGTAGGATGAGATACCATTGAAGAAGTTGGCAGAAGTAGTTGTGAAGTAGTCTGAACCAAGTTGCCTCCATAAAGATGCCAATGCTCTACTCAATATCCAGTCATGTAGAGACAGTCAGCTTGCATAATTGTCCTAGAATATGGAGAATTTAAAAGAGCCTGGAGACATTAGGAACTAAAGAATAATAGTAGTTTCCCCTTACACATGCCCTGGCAAAATACCCTAGAGACTGTGTATAGCATGAAACTGAAAGTATTCTATTATGTGAAGTAATACGAACTGAGAATGACCAATAATGTACCTTAGGTGTCATTGTTTATTAGCTTATAATTTTTAAAATGTGAGATTATGTGGGAGTTTCTGTGTGTCAAGCCTCCAAACGTAGAATGGCAGTAAGATCCATTAGAGGATCAAAAGGAGGATCTATGTCAATATTCTTAGTAAATGTTCATTGCAATGAGTCACTGGTCTCATTTAATGTCTCTGCTTTCTGGTAAAACATCATCACTGTATCTTCACTGGAACACCTCTGGGATAGTCTATGGCAGACCCCCAAATCATAGAGATCCAGTGAGTATTGTTCTACAGGACTACTCCCTTCATAAGCTCAAACATGGGGTCCTTGATCTGGTAGATATTTGGGTGGGACAATCCAAGGACTGACTCTGGATCTGGGTGGTAGCAGATTAGTCTGGGAGACTTGAGCAACCTACCTCAGGTTGGGCAGAATCAACTCCCCTATGCACCTGCTCTAAAGATTCTTTTACACTTGCCTTGTTGAGGGATTAGCATGTCTTTCTGTCATGCAGGGTTCAGCTCGAACACTGTTTAAGATAGACAGTGTTCAACAGGGAATACATGAAAACCCAGCATCACTGGAAGATGTTAAAAGTTCTACTTACCTAGGGTCATTAACTTGCTGAAATGCCAGGGACACTTCTAGGAAACTCATGCCAGTGAAGCTACCCTACCACATCTCTGTAGAAGGAAATTACTATCATTGACAAGACACTTCATTTTAAGAGCTGTTGTGATGTTTGACACTCCTTGAAAGACAATGAATAAGACATATCTATTCCACTTCCTTGACAATTATTTTGGTATCCACTTGCTTCTGTTGCAGTGAAGTAAGAAGCAATGTTAAACAAAAGACACATGTACCAGCATCAGCTAAGAAACAGGTACCAGCATCAACTACAGTGTGAGATCACACCTAATCACAGTTCTGTGAGGTCACTGAGCAAATTCTGTGAATGGACATGGACACTAGTATTACAATTACAGAATTCTGCAAAGGAAGGCAGAGTGTGATCACACAGGTTACATCCATTAATACGTTATGTTCTCATATGAAAATATTCACTTTTTGAAATTCTGTAAAGATTTAGGTGAATAATGGAAAACATAGTTTTTGTGAGTAAAACATAGTTTCTATATATGGAAAACAGCAATAATAATGTGTGGGTCAAAGCTCTCATCTTAGTTTATGACCTTTTTTAATGGGTAAAAATGTGTAATCTAGAAAAATACCATTATTTCCATAGGCAATAATGAACAAAAATAGTGTATGGGAGTCTTTAAATTCAAAATTTGCCTAGATGCACACTGAATTTTGCAAGGATCGGAAATGTATAGTGTTACAGAAACACAGCCACCAGAATCTGTGCTCCTTAAACAATGATGGGTTATCTACAACATACTACACCCTTCTTTCCAGTTTGCATTACTCACTTAATTTCTGTTCACATTTTTGCTACACTGTTGTATGTTTTGTGCTGTAAAAAGCTTTCCATTGAAAATGTGCTCCTGCTGATCCTTCTGCAGTGGATCCCAGATTGGTTCCCTGCACCTACTGAGTTCCTTATATCTGCATGTAATTCCAATTCCAGTGGCTTCTGTCATTCTCCACTGGCTTCTAGAGACATTGCATGAATGATCTTTGGGAGCCCATTCCAAATAGAGGGATGGTCTCTCAGCTTGCCCTGGATGAGATGATAGACTTTGGAAAATTCCCCAAGGAGGGCCTCACCCTCCCTGTGGAATGATGTGGGGATGTGGTTGGGGGCTGTCGGGGCTGGCAGAAGGACAAGGAAGTTAGAGTGGGAGAGGGAGCTGGGATTGACATGTGAAGCATTCATGTTTCTAATTTAATTAAAAATATATATTGAGAAAAAAAGAAATCCTTCATTAACAGTAGCTCTTATATCTCTGAAAAGAAATATCTTTTTTTAATAAAAAGTGGAGACCATTTCTAAAAACCACAACTGATTAAAATCCAAGAACAAGTGATCCATCTACAAAGTGAAGCATGCACTCCAAGCAGGAAGCTTTTAAGAGCCAGGGGTTCAGAAATTTGTTTTGAGATTGTATCTCTTAGAGATGTTGGGTAAGGTCACCCTTGAAATCTCTACATGCCTGCCTATAAAGACATAAAATATGACACCAACATGGTAAAGTGAAATCTCAGTGACCCCCCTTTAATCCCAATTTTAAGAATAATTAAACAGCCTGGCAGTGGTGGTCCATGCCTTTAAACCCAGCACTCTTGAGGCAGAGGTAGGAGAATCTGGGTGAGTTTGAAGGCAACCTGGTAAACAAAGCAAGCTCCAGGGAAGCCAGAGTTGTTAAAGAGAGAAACACTACTCAAAAAAATAACAAAGAAGAATGACTGAAAAAATATGTTCACTCTATATTATCCCCTCAAAATCATGGAAAGTTTGACCTATCTATTAACTGATATGTGCAAAATAAAATACTGTATACCAGTTTCAGACCCAGGAGATTCCCTATCAATCACTACCTGTGGAACATACTGGATGCTTCTGGCCAGTAAGATGCATGTATGTATTCATCACCAAGGACCAGATGCCAAGCAGCGAATATGACCAAAGTTTGTTTTCGTGGGTTCACAGTGTGATCAAACATTTTGTAGGTTTTGCTGTGTTGGAGCAAAACAGCATGGCTCACAGCCTACATGAAGAAAGTATTGAGCATCATTTTGCATCAAACTTTAGAACTATCTGGGCCAGAATCTTCTACAAGTGAATAAGTAACTCTAAGATGAAGTTCTAAAAATACAAACTCATTGCTACGGTCTCCGCACCACAAGCAACTCTTAGATATCAGAAAAAGAAAGACCTGATGTCCAGCTGTTTTTTACTAAGAAGTGTCTTTATTTTGCAAGTGATAAGAGGTCTCTCTCTTGTAGGAGGCAGCAGTCTTATGTATAGTCTTACAACACAGTAGAAAAACCCCAGGTGGAAGAGAGCATGTTTTCCTCTTGCTAGATGTTGATGTCAGTGGGGCAATTCGGGGACAGTAAGCCAGGACTAGAAAACAGGATGCACCTGTGGCTATCAGCTGACAAAAAACTCAGAGACCCTGTGGGGGCTATTCCCCAACACGTTGCCACAAATGCTCCAAAGATCTTGAACTAAAAGATTTAAAAACTACTCAGGAAAACTCGAGAATCTGTCAATTGAGGTGAGGAGACAAGCATTCAGGAGTAGACAAATAAGAACACAGTTCCTCTTTTGGGGAAAAGGGAAGGGTGGGGGTACAGGAAAAGGGAAAAGAAGAAGCACATCCCATGGCTCTCTGGAGGCAGCAGGTATTGTGGAAAGGAAGGAGGAATGGAACCAACAATGATGAAAGAAGCTGTTTCTACTCCAACATAAGTGACTAGCAAGGGTCAGAAACGGTTTGATGTTGAAATTGACCAAAAATTGCAAGGAATTACTTGCTTTGTAATGGCTGAAGAAATGAAAGCTTACAAGAAAGCTTTTGGTCATCTCTGGACACAGGAAACCATGACCCTGAGAACCAACAAAGTTAGCTAAATCAACAAACACAAAGTCTGTGATAAACCAAAGGCACTCAGATTAAGAGGGCATTCCTCTACAACAATGGGCCCTGAAGATTCTCAATAAAAGCCATTTTACAAAGTACCATAATGTCACCTTTCATTTCTCAAAAATACAGTTCTCATAAAGGATTCTGTAACAAATAGTAATAAATTATAACAGTCCTGTAAATTGTCTTGCTCATGTAAATATTATCAAATGATAA